ATATATATATATATATATATATATAACCCAGCTCTCCATCTGTTTCAAGCAGCTAACTATTTTTACTGGAAACCTGCTTTTTGAAAAGATTATAACTTCCCCTTAGATTTCCAATGAAATGATAAAAGATTTTAATGAACCACTGAGGATAGTGTTTTGTACAATGGATGACCTAAAACTGCAGTTTGTTTTGTATCGTACGACTCTGGTGTGTGATAAGATCTTACTAAAAAAAAATAAAAAATAAACTTATGAAGCTTAATATGAGTGTAGTCCAGACTGAAACTGTTGAATTTATTTCTGGCTGTTCTTTACCAGTTATTCCTGAGCTATTACCAAATATGATATATCTTAATAATCTGCTAAGATTATATGGTAACTAATGGGGGAAACAAAAATAACTGAGTGTCAAATTACAATATTGCTGCCTGGTTTCAGAAAACAGAGAAAAGAGTAATTTGCAGTTTGAATGCATGGGTGATAGTGTTGTTGAATGTTAATTTGAACTAATTGGATGTTCTTTTTTTGATGTGTTGAATTGTTTCTACAATAAATGGATGAATTTGAGTTGTGTTTTTGGTGGGGGGAGGGAGGTAATTGTATTTTTTTGTATTGTGGACATTTGCAATTGAAAACAAACAATAAAGGCTATGTAAACAATAAAATGCTTGCTGTTTTTATTTTGCTGTTTAGTCTGTACTTTGGTCAAAATACTTTGGAGGTAAAAGTAAAGAGTAAACATTGGTAGATGAGAAGGTAGAAAAAATGCATTGAATGTCGTGTGCGCGAAATGCATATCCGTCTCGTTTGTCCCTCATTACGTTCCGTACAGAAAACTATGGCTGTCCCGGAGTTGTGACAATTGTTTTTATTTGTGCAAACACTCATAGTTTTAATGTTTTAAACTATTCTCGTCGCAGAAACCCGATTCCTAAGATTTTTAAACCACAGTGCAACTCAGGTAATGACGTTTTGTTAATATTTAAGGCGCCTGTTTGCACAAAGTTAGGGGCACGTGGGTAATAGCTAGCTATTAGCTGTGTTAGCTTGTTTATGTTTTCAAGAAAACCAGCCTAAAAGGCACAGACTTTCAGCTATTTTAGCTTTTAAAAAAGGTCTGTCGACTCTTATGTTCGTCTCTAAAGTGAATGAAAATTACAAGTGAAAGACGACTGATATAAGAAGTAGGTTGGTTTTATATAAAATAGTCCTAACGAAATGGTAAAATACGGATGGTTGTCATCAAATTATCATTACGCAGGTAAATAAACACGTGCGTTACATTAAGTTATCAGCGTGACGTAGTTCAGAGTATTTCAATGTGTTTTAAACTTATAAGGCTTTAATTTGCGACTGCTTAGTTGTTTCAACCTTAACTGTTTAAAGAACTACCTAATTATGTTTGCTGCATTTGTGAACTAAAAAAACAAAACACCCTGTTAACATTAATTTTCCACATTCTATTTTGTCAGGCATTTATACATGCACTTAAACAAGTATCTAAGTGTACACAACACTACTATATTAAACAAATCCTTCTTTTCAGATCATCATGCCGTCCGCCTGTGACCCTTTGATTGAAGACATTGAGGACATGTTGTCTTCTGGTGACCCCACTCCTCATGAAAGACAGTCCGCCAGAAAGAGTATAATACCTCGAGCCAGGAAGAGGAAAGAGCTCCTGAACAACGAGGAGCTCCAAGCTGACAGGTATTGTTGTCCACATGTCGACAGGTTAATGCCTTCAAACTGTACCTTCAGATACAGATGAAGTTGACTCAACCACACCTCAGGGAAAACACTGACTTCTGAATAATGTCTGACAAAATTTCAGTGCATTTGAAACTAGCAGTGTCCGTAAGCACAGTGAGCTTTTATACTAACCATCGCCATAACAATATGACCACTGACACAGCTCATTGTTCTTCTGTGAGAACACAAATCTGTGTATTTTTTATTGTATTCTACTTCTAAACAACCATTCACACGCTCACTCGCAAATAAAGCCAATTTAGAGTTGCCAGTTAGTCTAACATTCATATTTTCAGTCAATGATGGAGGAGTTGAAGGAATAAAATAGTGTTTCTTTTGATACCCGAGGACAAGAGCTTATTTTCAAATGTGCTACGATGACACTGCCACCGTTGTGGACAGAAGGTGCTGGAACATGTGCTGACACTGCCCAGTTCAGTTCAGGCACTTTATTGTTTATTTATTTTACAGCCAGGCATTTCTAACATACAAAAACAACATAAAATACATTGACAGTGTTTAAAAGCTTACAAGCAGCTATGGATCTAAATTGGATACAAAGGAGTTCTACTATCTGTAACTTTATTCCTGGGAAACCCAAACCTCCTATGATACCATCTCCTTCCATGAGCTGTTTCACTACCTTTTATAAGATTTATTTGACCATTTTTGTAAGTTTTGCTGAAGCAGGTATAATTAACACTGTATGCCTCAATCAGCTGCGTACAATCACAAATTCTAATCAAACACGCAATACTTGGCACACACCCCTGCGAGAAAAATGTTCGACTAGGAGCTTGTGCACAGAGCGGGTTCTCAGTGACATCATGAAAACAAAAAATACAATTTTCATCCTGTAGCTGCAACAATGAACTGAACCACATCTTCCCTACTGGTCCTAACCTGTTGTTTAGTTGAGCATTTTAGCTCCAAGCCTTTATCAGACAGGTGAAGTTTAAAAAATGTTTTATAGTTCCTTGTAGTACTTGACCAGTGGATAGACAAAGGCTGTGTCTCAATTCAGGGGCTGGGTCCTCATGAGTGCGCATTTGTCGGCCGCATACGTCATTGCCCCACGCGGAGGACAGTCCCAATTCGAAGGCTCCTCATCACGCGGCCGAGGAATGCGTCCTACTTCCTGTCGAAATCAGAGGATGCATCCATGTATCCTTACCAGCCGAGGATATCCCAGGATTCAATGCGCGGTCAGCAAAATAATCTGAGAAATGAAGACGGTGGTGTTTTTATTTTTTTAACGTGTCGGCGCAGTTTGGAAATTCACCACGGACCGAAGGATTTGTTCTTTAAAAGTAAGTTCAGCAACTTAGCTGATGAAATTTATGCTGCAATTGGATGTTAAATAAAAGAAAATGCAACTACAAGTTACGAGAATAAAGTATTATAAGAATAAAATCATAACATTACGAGAATAGTCATAATATTATGAGAATAAAATCGTAATATTATGAGATTAAAGTCATACTACAAGAAAAAAGTCTTAATATCCTAGCCTTTACGTGCAAAAGCATGCAGTCATCACTGCATTAAAATGAGGATGTTGTCAAGTTGTTCTTTATTGTTTATAAATAAATTATCTTTTAGCACATTAGTATCCAATTATCAGTAGCAGGACATGGAAATTGTGCAAACGACTATATGATAAACTGAAGCTGTATTGTAATTAATAGATGCATTGACAGATTTAGTCATGTAGTTAATTTGTAAGAAATCATATTAATCTAACAGTGATCCAGGTCATCACTGACTACTTTATAAACACAGAGAAACACCTGGCTGTACACAGAAGGTATGAGGTTAAAATAACTTTATTTAATTCAGCAAACAAATAACAAAAAATAAATAAATAAAAAGAAAAAACAAATAATAATAGAAACAAACAATTAGACAATGTTGTGTCAAAAAACACGATCACAACATTCAAATGAAAAGGAGCAGAAAGAATAAAATCTCATAACATCTGCACCAATAAAAAATATGTATCTAAAAAACGTACAACATACAAACCATAAAACTCAACTTAATACACAATATAATTTAAAACAACTTCACAACAAAAATACAAATATCAACCAAATCTTTGTTCATATCTCATTAAAAAAACTTTTAAGCATTTTACTAAATGAATAAATTGTTCCACATTCTTAAAGTCACCAAGTACTGACTTTATTCTCATAGTATTACAACTTTATTCATATATTATGACTTTATTTTCGTAATAATAATAAAAAATATGTGTTATCTCCATTGTAGATACTGGAGCTAAACCCAAATTATTGTTTTCTTTATTTACGTTTACCTTTTTAACTGTGAATTTATTCTTACAGTAAAACGACGTGTAGAAGCATTTTAAGTCCGACATGAAACTGATCACTATGGTAACGGGGGACACGTAGTCACGCAAACCCATGTGAAGCCAACGTCAGGCGAAGGCTAGACCGTCTCATTTCGCAGCAGTTTTGAGCATCCTACCCGGCCCAGCAAGGATGTGGTCTACGTGGCCCAGCCCATGAATTGAGACACAGCCAAATAATCTCGTCAAGACAATATCAGCTAATCTTATGATGCAGTATAAAGTTAGAATAAGAAGAATTTAGGGGAGACTAAACATATTTTAAATTGGCATTTATTTCCAGTTTGATTCCTGGTACCCAGAAGGTCTGGATAAAGACATGGGGCTGTAGTCACAACAACTCAGATGGAGAGTACATGGCCGGACAGCTTGCTGCCAGTGGATACAAGATGACAGGTACTGAGTTGTTTTATTGTGTTGTTGTAGAGGCAGACCTGTATGAAAGCATCATGGCTCACATAATAATGACACAAAATTAACCATCAGTTATACGAAATTTTAATTCTAAGTTCATTGAAATACATAGAAAAAAATCTGCTGAAATATAGAAAACGCCACTAAATTTTACTGGTTGAAGATAAACGAATATCATTATTAAACACAAGAGGGCAGTCTTGTCTTGTGTAGGTGCGGTCTGTATTTTAGTGGGACAATTTTATTTTTCCTGAAATCAGGCTCCCAAATTATGCTCTTCCAATTTAAAAAAAATCACAAAGTGTGCGTAATTTTGATTTTTTTTTTTCATATTTCTTTACTCTGTTTCTATTTTCTTGTGACAGAGCAGACTGAATTTCTTTGGGCTCTTGTCACTTGAAGAAATAGTTATTGTAGTTGAAACGTTCGTGATGACTGAACAGTATAACAGAAAATGAACTTTATAAAAAGCTGGATTCTGACTGAAAAACATTATTTTACATTTATTCTCAGTTTTGCATCCCTTTTGTATCAAAGCTAGACGTATTGAAGTCGATGTTGTCCATGTTTCGTTCTGTGCCAGATTATTAGTTATTTAATAATTCTGTGTAGAAAATGTTAGAATTCATGTTGTGCTTTTGTCTGAATTTGCAGTAGGGTTTATGTCTGTTTTTTCGGAGAGAGATTGAGACAAAAGACAAAGCAAGAGTCTATCCCTTAGGCGTTTCCCTCTGCATGGGGTCTCTGCAGCTAGAGAGGGGCATTAATCACACATTTCAAAAATGCAAATGTTCCGTCTCATTCATGTACATACAAACTGTTTACACAACATCCTCCTTAAAGGCATGTTCTAACTTTCCTTCCACTGGAAACTTGGACCCCTGCAATCTTTGTATCTTGCACAGTTTTTTTTTTAATTTCATTTTTTTGTTTCTTTTGTCTGATCAGCTTCTCTTTTAGTTAGAACGTTGCAGGTTCAGTCTGGTTCTGCAGCTTCTTAAAATGTCCTTGGGCAGAACGTAGAGAGTTTAAAAATGCCGTTTTTATTTAAAGTGCAAATAAATAATTGAAACTGCTGAATAAGTGCAAAGTGATTCATAGAACCTGGTTGAGGTAAAAGTGTCGGATATTTTACCGTGAGTCTAAATCGGACATCTTTAGTTTAAGTCGCTGTTGTTTATGTACAGAAATTTTGGTACAAATGTGTATCAGTGAGTGACAGGTTGGGGACTCAGTCGTGGTTTGAGGCTGTTTTTCAGTTGCTGCTGTCGAGGAGCTTGTCAAAAATGACACAATTTTGCCCCAGAAAAATCCTGTAGGCTTTTTATCCACTGTGCGATACCTTCTGGAGAGTGCCTGATCGGTAGGACGGCCTCAGTTTCTCAGCATGAAAATGATCACAAACACAGTGCCGAAGCAGTAAATGAATACCTGGATAGGAAAAACAAAAACACAAAACGGAACACTATCAGTCACGGATTAGCCTCCTGAGGGTCTAGACCTTAACATTTTTTTTCATAATAGTGTGAGATCTTGAAAGAAAATGAAACCAAAGGAAACACACGAAGAGATCTGATGCCCTTAAAGAAAACTGCAGTCGTTTTGTGAAGAAAACCCAGAGAAATTAAGTAATTCTTATTTAAAAGAAGTGCAATCTGTGTTAAAAATATATTTTGCTAATATTCATTTTTCGAACCTTTTTATAAGACTCTCCAAAAACTAGCATTGATGCATTTTCACTGAAAAGACATCCTAAAGTTTTGATGATATGGGAAGAAAATTGGATTTAAAGTGCACTCTGTTTTATGTTTGCAGTTTTAATTTTGAACCAAATTGAATGGTAGAGGAGCAGCACTTTTGCATCTGTTGTTTTTCCCTTGCAGACCCAGCCTGCCCTAGAGTTTACCTTTTTCAAGGTTTTCACTAAAGCAAGAATTAAATCCTCTTTGTATCACAAAAACAGAAAACAGAACCTGAATTTTCCTCGCAGACAGAGACGCTAAATTTGCTTCGTAGCGCAAACCTTCGATTACATGATTGACACTGAAGAGATGCAGTTTCATAACATTTTGTTCCCGTAATAATAGTGGTTTCTCTGAGAGTAAGGTCCTCAGGTCTGCCTGTTTTCAAGCTGTTTTGCTTTTCCCACAAACAAGAAAATGTGTTCAGTCTGTATTCAGTCGAGATCAAGTAGTGCTGACAGGACCGATGATAAAAATGTGTTTGTAGAAACAGAGCACTTCTATACTACAACTGATTAAACTAAATGTAATTATATATTTTTGAGAATGCATTTTTTAAGCTGGATTGGAAGAAAGTCATAACTACACTCACCAGATCTCTGGATGAAAATACCTTAAATTTAACACCTCTGTCTCCCTGGTAATGTTAGAGAATTATTTCAGTTTCTGCATCCCACCATTATTTTCTTTAAAGTGTGTTTTTCAGTCTCACTTATGTTTTTTTCTGCATCAGTCCTTTGTTGTCGTGTTTGTTTTTGTGACTGTTAAAAAATGATCACCTCCAAAATCAGTAAAGATTACAGCAAGGTTTAGTGGTGTTTGTTTAAATAACAAAAACCAAAAGCTGTGGTGATATTTGTAGAGGTTTGCCTGACGTCATTATTGATCTGACAAAAAGGAAAAGTGAATGAGTCTGCACCAAAATGGGCTTCAGGATTGGGTATGTACTTGTCCGCCAGATTAAACACGAGAAAAGGGTAAACATTCACACCGTCAAGCACAACAATTCTTCTTTTATTAAAACTGAAAACAAACCAGAAAAATCACAAGCTATTAAACGTCACCTTAGTATTGCTTCTTCAGACCCAGTGGCGTTTTAACGAGGAGAGTAAAAAGACAAAGACGGCTTCCTCTGCACTAAAACCATGACATCACCCCTTTCCTTTCTCCCACTCTCTGTGCCTGTTTTCTCTCTTTTACGTTCTTGCCCTCCCTTGTCGCTCTTTCATAGCCATCTCTAAATCTTTCTTTCCTAAACTATGACATCACCTGGTGTGAAGCATAGTAGCAGTTCGTACTTTGGCCTGTAGGAGGCAGACTTGGCTCACGGAGGAGTTTTTTGTCAAAGAAAGCATGTCTGCAAAATCATAATGAGGTCATCCTTCTGGAAAAAAGTATTCCTGTTGATAGTTTCAGCCTTCTAAACTTTTAATCTTATAAAGGATGCATGTGAAACATGAGATGTATGGATTAAGATTATTTTAGTAATTTGAACCTAAGCGATCCTGTTTGAGTGATTGGTTCAGAACGGTTTTAGTTTAAGAAAATTGGCGAATCAGACTACATATGTGGATTATTTATTTATGATAAAGCACTTTCTTGCATATAAGGTGTAAAGTCTGTGTAATTCATCCATTTTCTTAATGATTAATAAGAATTAAATCTGCTGTGTAGAACTTGAAGAGATAATCAAACCCCTTTTATATTTCATGCAGTTTGTCTTTGTGTTTTGTACTTTTCCTCTTTTCTGTTGAGTTCTTTGTCAAAGAAAGCCACCTGCATTACCCCCACCCCCCCACACCCCAACCACACACAAGTTCATCGGTTCATTGCGTCAACACTCAGCTGCTGTCTGCTCTCCGTTGTAGTTCCTGCGCACACCTACGGGGGGCAGTGTTTACCCGTGACTGCCCACCATCACATCAGAGTAGCAAAGCAATGTGCCAAGTGGTGACTTCATAGAAAGACATGTATGCTTACAGATGAACACACACACACACACACACACACACACACACACACACACACACACACACACACACACACACACACACACACACACACACACACACACACACACACACACACACACACACACACACACACACACACACACACACACACTTCATGGAAAGTCGCACCAGGATATTTTGATTGTTTTTGCCCCCCCCTCCCACCCCTCCCAGTCTCCTCCCTGCACAACCAGCCACACGCACAGCTCTTCAGTTAGAGTTTTACATACCGGTTAGGCAAAATGACTCCCTGGTACACAATGTCAGCCAAATGAGGCGTTCTCAGTTCCTGCTTTGGACACAGACGGTTAGAGGATATGAGTTTTTGTCAGAGGCCGTGATCTGTTTAGATAAAATCATTTGAGGGCTGATCTTAAAGATGCTGAAGACGATATTAAATGGAGAAAAAGATAAAAAGCTTTCACCTCAATCTAAACCACTCACCGCTTGTTTACGTTTTTTTGTGGCAGCTGAGAGAAAAAAAATATTTGTTTTGTTTTAGACGTATCTAATCTTAAATTTGATATTGGATGTAAAAACACGGCTGTCCTGAACGAACTCGCAGAGTGTTTGCTTCAAGCGCTGCTGCTCCTTGTGATAGTGTGACATCACTGTGGAGTATTTTTTTCCCTCCGACTGTGTGTACCTCGCATACGTGCTGTCTCATTCATAAAATGCGAGTTTGAGCGTCTTCTGATTGGTCGCCCGTGCCCTACGCAGCATTACACGCCGCGATGCGACGGCCAATGAAGACGTACAGTGTTGGTGTCTGACTCCACCTCGCTCATATCCACACACAGCTGGGATCACACACACATTCGCTCCTCTCACACACAGTTGGCGGCGTAGTGGGGATCGGCGTTTTAAAAAAAGAAAGTGTGTGAGAGACAGTTCCTGTCCTGACAGTCATCATTCTGCTAGATTACACATATCGCCTGGTGTCTTTATACGCTCGGGAGCGAGGCTGTGTGCTCGCTGTCTTTCCACTATGTTTAAAGTGTCTGTATCAAGACGGTCTTGTTTTGCTGACTTGGAGAGGGAAAATGTGAAGGAATGAAGGAGAGAGCTGTGCGAGGACAGACAGGAGGAGAAACCAACGAGGAAAGGAGGAGGGTTGGAGGAGACACAGACAGATGCACTTATAAAGCCTGAATTAGACAAAATGATGGTTGGAAGGATGGAGGCAAACTGGGAAGGAACGTATTTGCAGGGTGACAAAAAAAAAAAC